ACCTATTTGAAAAAAAAGATGGTTATGAATAGCTTCTCAATATACCTGTAAGGGATTAGCCCATATTCTAGTTAAACTATTAACATTTTGTAGGTAGAAAGTATGAGTCATGTATATTGTTGTTTACAGAAATTTTACTACTTATGTGAGTATATATGAATATGTAGGCTTTAAGATTTTATAAAAATCAGGTCAGTAATATTTGCGTAATATATGAATGAACATACATGTAAGCTGATAAAATTTTACATTGAAAATATTAGTTAAATATATAAAATAGAATGTTCGTAAAACATATACATTCGTAATAGTTTCTGCCACAGTCTGATTATTTCTTTTTTTATTTGTATTTTTAAATATTACGTTGCGTTTAATAATTCCGTTGCTTATATTTTTTACTGTGAATGTATTTAGTACAGGCTTGTTACGACTGACATGTTGACGTAAATAGTCGTAATAAATTTTGATAGACAAAGTTTCATACTCTATTTTGTAGGATAATTAAATTATTGATTATTCCGATTGGTTATAGTGAAATACAAATAAATATAGGTACTATACTTTATAAAATAAAAAACATTAATTAAAAAAGCATCACTGAGATGTAGATCAAGAATAAATATTCTTCTATTCGAGAGTTAAATAAAGTTATATATTTTTTGCATATAAATAAATATGAATATAAATTTCAGTGCTATATTTGTTAAGAAACTTAACTGATTATACCATTTAGGTGGTGTGTAAGACCTTCAGGCCTTCTTTAAATGAATGACTGATTGCTCAACATTCACACAAACACCTCAATATTGTCTGTTTCCTTTTAGAAACCCAGCGATTTAAGCTGTTAGGCAACACCGACGATTGACGCCTGACGCCTCCTTTTCATGTACTTGAAGTGACTATACATTGTTAAAACGGTTCAAGGTTTAATTAATATGTTAATATAAACGAATTACATATAAAATTATTACAAATGGATATTATTCATCTTCCGTGAACGTTTTCGTCTATAGTGTAGACAATATTAGTAGATATTTTTTTGATTAATATGAAATATACAAACATATATTTTGACACGGTAGTATGTAAGGCCGTTGACCGAGTTGTTTGCTTTAAGTGGTCATTCGGTTGGTCTATTAAAATCATTTGCCGGTTGTCGTATAACAGATAAACACATAATGGAACCGTTATAACTGATGTCAACATTCAGAATATATCTGAAGCTACTCCAACTACGTAACGTTCTAAGAAAACTAGACGGATAGATAAATTTCTAAGAAAATGACGATAGATTATATGTGATCGTATGACGTGATGTTTGTCACGCTATGCTCAAATAACACTGCATAATGTTTATTGTTTGTTATATATTGTATTCAATTAAATAGTTATATTTTTTTATCATTATGAACTTATTTCTGGGCTGGCAAGTTGCCTGAACTACGGGGAATCCGTATCGTCTTGGACAAACCAAACGTCCTCCGCCTTGAAATTTACTCAATCACATCTAAATATAACTTGGTAATGAATTCTGATTTTTATATATTAAAACAATCGTTATCGTAATATTACCTACGATACAATAATATTTACAAATATTCAATTTCACGATTTACATAGTTATGTTTGTTTGTAAAATTTTAACGTCATAAGCAAATCGATTATCTCAAAATTCAATTTAAGCCCACAAGCAAAACTGCGTGAAACTACTAGTATATATTAATTAAATGAGATCAATAAACTATAAGATTTCTTTTATAACATACATGTATCAAAGCAAGTCATAACATAAAATCGGCTAAGCGTAAAGCGAATCTCGTAATCAAAAGCATTTGATAACAATGTTTATAAATAGTGAAAAGCTGTAGTATAATTTTAAAATTGTATTGTATTTATGTTTGTTAAATTCTTAGTGCGTTGTACCGATAAGCGGTCGTAGGTACCATCGTAATCAGTACAGATATATGGGTCTGTTGTTGTCCATTAATGTACTATTGTACAGTTAACAAAGAAATGTAATGACTCACAGCATTTAATATCACGCGATCTGAGTAAATAATTCGTGATGATTTTTGTTCTTACTATAGGTATGGGTTAATTTTATATCTTATTAATATACATTTTATTGTTATTTGGTATAGATCGTATCGTTCGATATTCACGATGACCGAGTTATAATGATAAGGATATTGTTTTAGTGTTTTGTCATACAGTATTTCCTTGTAGTTTATGCGTTTACTATACGTAAATCCCATACTAATTGATCTGCGACTTCCCCGATGAACTAATAATCTGATGCAATTTGACGTCATGGTAGCCTGAAAACGTTTTTTTACTATATCATGCGTTGTTCGTAATATAGTCTTTGAAATTTTTAATAATTTAATCTTTATTATAACACGTATTTGGCAATGTTTAATTATTATAGAAGGCGTGTTCATCCTGTAATGGAGTATTTTAGTTATAATAAATACACATTTCCTTTGTTAATTAAATACGTACGTTGCGAACAAATTTATTAACAATCAAACAATCCGTGACTCTGTTATTGTGACACATTGAATTGAATTATTTGTATTTAAATATAAAAACGTTCTATTTTTATGTTAAAGGTATAATTTATTCCACTACCGCGTTTTGACTGCTTCTATTACTGCCTATATATATTTTGGCGTTTCGTATTTATAATTTTGACAGTATTGGTTAATTCAGTGGGAGTTTTAATGTTTGAAGTAAGGAGTGTTCCTTGACCTAGTTGGTATCGCGAAATTGTGGTCAAATTTGTACCGCCTCAGTGAATGATGTAGAACTTTCACCAAAAGTCACCTCATTTTTGATAGATTTTACAATGACATCGTCAAAAATTTGTCTATTTATTTACAAATCTGTTCTTATTTAACTAGTTTCTTTTCTAGGTTATTTCAGTTACGATAATTATTTAAAGAAATTTTAATTAAATCGGTTCAGTAATGTTATTGCTAGATACTAATTTTGGATTTAATTCAGTCGATTATATGAACATATAAATGAACTCCATATACAATACAAATCAAATATCATTAAAGATGGTTAATATCAGTTAGTTTGAATACGTTTGAATTTTTAATGTACCGGTAGTACTGTTTACAAGCCGTGGCCTACTGACCGCCTTTGTACACTATCTGACTAGCAAGACGTTATGTTTTAGTGAAAATAATGTATATGTTCTTGAATTTATAACAAAGCAATCGATATTCACGTTCAATGTTATATGAGTAACAAAATATACGCTACAATAATTATGACAATTTTTAGTATAACATTAAATTCACTTATGAATCAGTTTCGTAATCGTTAGTGGGTTTGTAATTATGTTCTAGTAATGTTTCATATTTAAGCCATTCATGGAAATCATGCATAATATAATGGTCTAATTATAATACGAATAGAGTGATTAATTATGTTGATTAATTACAGAGCAAAATGTTTGTTTACTATATTGTCAAAATAACGATATCACGTCTGGAGTTATATAAAAATATTTACGTATTAATTTGGCGATGTAACGATAACATCCTGCTGTTTAAAAAATTATAAAAAATATACATTATAGACTCGATGTATGTATGTATGTGAACTTGGCAGCTTGTGTTGGTACAGTAAAGTTTAATAAAATCTAGTTACGATTATCGTTAGTGTCGTTGCGTGCTCTGACACCGTTTCGAAGGTTATCTTCGATGTCAGCGACCACGGGCCGCGCCTACACGCGCTTCTGTATACAAACAACATCACACATGCGTCTCTCTATACACTCCGGACACGGGCCAATTCTCATTGACTGTACTGTAGACTGTGGACTATCTTTAGGTGTGAACGCAGAGTGAAACGGAGATACAACACTCGAGCGAATACGGTTCATTGAACACGCTATTTAGTATACATCAAATATCTTAAACGGGCGTACGTTGACCCTGCGAGGGGATGTGCATGTATTAAAATTTTTACCTTCCCATATATAGAATCGTAATCTGAATTGTTATTATAAATATATTGATATACAGCTGAGATGATTACTACGCAATATAATGTATACGTACAATGAAAGTGGGTCACGTAATATTATACTAGCTATTCAAAATTAGGTCAATAGTGTTTTAAACGTAACAATTATAATAGACTCGTTAATGTTTTAAGTATTATATATCGTTTTTGAGACCAGCTGACTCGTCGTTCGTCAAGTGACGTTCAACTTTTAAGAAACGTGTCGTCTCTCGTGTACGTGATGCAAACATCGTCCCGACTTTCGATAAATCTTCTTTTGTTGATGCAATAAACTGCGCACTTTTAAAATATTGCCTCCAAAACGATCACATAAACGTTCCTTCTTCACTTATATATGAAAATGCTCTTTCGCTTTGTGCGTCTTAATTTGACGTCATTGACTAAAGATATTTAATGTGCTATTTACAAATTATGTTTAATAACTCATTAGTTCCTTATCTGTATGTACTTAAAATATTATTTATTGAAAATATTTTCTCTATTTCTTTTAAAAAATATTTTATTTTATTTAACACAAAAGTCTTATTTAACTTTAAACCATGTATTCATCGATTACAAAATATATATGTATTACAGAACTAAAATTGGCAATACCGATAACAAAGTAAGCTTTCTTTGTACTACTTACAATCAGCTGATAGACGTAAACAATGAGATATACATTTCTACGTAGAAATAGTAATCCGAAGCGTACTATTTTCAATACACAATAGGGCTAATTGCTTTAACTTATTTTTCACAAAGAGTAATTTTTATTATTGTTTAGAAAAATGAGAATAGGCCGGTCGATTGGCATGTCCCGTTAACGAACGCGCGCTACCTACGTGACGTATAAAGCGTGGGCTGCCCCACCAGCTAGCCATTAGCACAGCGCCCGCGCGCGCGTTCACACGTATTTACCGGTTTCGGCTCCGCGCTCGCTCTCTCGACTCTATGTGTATACAAGCCCAACAAGAAATATGCAATATTATACTCATTGGAACGATTGGTTTTATCAAGAGACCAACGGAGCGGTGGACCCTACCGGCGCCGCAGCACGCCGGCGCAGGCCCAGGGATCGACGCCGCCCCCCGCCCGCGCCGCCGACGCCGTCGACGCCGCAAAGGATCTCCACTGAGGAGTTAGTGGAAGCCCTGCGCCCGCATCTGCTCTCGCCGAAGCGGATGTGGGCTTTGGGCTACCCCCTGGAACTCGAGCCCACCTCTTCGAAGGCCGTGGTCTATATAAACCCACCGCCTCGACGACCTCTTCAATTTACTTCTTTCGATGTCAACGCACCGGAATTCGTACCCGGTGGTTCTCAGAGTGATAGTGGACGAGGATCGTGGGGAAGCACTCCACGGTCCGACAGTGACGAAGAAGCGGATGCAGTGGAACATTTGTGTGTTCGTTGTGACAAAATGTTTAGAATGACTAGGGAAGGTGAATATGTGGTCGAGGAGACGTGCAGCTATCATTGGGGGCGCATCAGCAGCAACTCCCGGCACACGTGCTGCGAGGCCCCGCTCGGATCCAGGGGATGCAGCACATCTCGTTTTCACGTTTGGAGCGGTACCAAGCCTGGTATGAACGGGCCTCTCGAAGGTTATGTGCGTGCACGATCACCCCGCGGCGGTGTTTACGCCATCGACACGGAGATGTGTTATACAACAGCGGGTCTCGAACTGGCCAGCGTGGCCGTGATCGCAGCCGACGGCCGCCTCGTATACAGGTCGCTGGTGAAACCTGGCTCACCTGTCGTCGACCACAACACACGCTTCTCAGGCATCAGGCCGCGCGACTTGGCGCGCGCGACCAAGACGCTGAAAGATGTTCAGAACGATATATTAGGATTCATCGGAAGCGATACCATATTGGTGGGACATGCTTTGGAAAACGATTTGAGATCTTTGAAGCTGTTACATAGCGCCGTCGTGGATACGTCTGCACTATATCCACATTCACGAGGATTTCCATTGAGACGTTCTCTTCGGGCTCTCTCCGAGGAATTGCTTGGACGCAGCGTACAGAGGAGCAGCTCCGGCCACTCGCCTCTAGAGGACGCCCGGGCTGCCATGGATCTCGTCCTACTCAAGGTTCACAAAGAACGCGCACAACGAGCCCGTATCTCAAATCAGTTGCCTATTCTGCAACCGTACGAACCCTTAATTAGTTCCGCCTAAAAATTTTGTGTGATTATTATGACTTGTTCTAAAAAACTTGATTATGTGGACATTTCTTAAGTGACTCTGGATGTATTACGTTGACGAAGCGCGCGTACTATGTATGTGCCTTCGAATTGCGGTATTGCAATAAACGTAATATTATTTTTTTCAATATTCTGTCGTTTTACTTTACCCTAAACGAAACACTACACAACACATAAATAATACATAGTATATAGAATTTATTGACATAAAAATTTTGTTTTGACATTAACAAGTAATAAAGTAGACACAAAGTATTCTCATTATATATAAACAACGGTAAAATAATAAAGAAAGTATGTCATGATTAATGCAAACCTCATACGATTTAATGTCTCAGTCATATGATAGAACACTTTCACTGCGCTGGATTTCACTGCTTCATAACAAGCGACATAAAGCAGGTTGTTATGTTATTACAATATAGTACTATTAGATGTATACAATTTTACCTCAATAATAAAGTTCCTTGTAATGATATTAAATATCATGATTCATGTATGTCTGGGTCAAACCTCGCCGTCAAGGAAAATCGAATGACGTAACACAAATAAATATAAGCTGATTAAACGCATACAAACATCTTTATCTATAATATGTTTCAGAAAATTCATATTAATCATACATCGCCTTCACAGCGAGTGACTAAGCGTTCGGTTCATTGAAACGCTCATATTTCTTTTATTTTCTCATCTGAGTCAGCTGTGCTTCTCGGATTCTAAGTAGGCCGTCTCGGTAATATCATCCTGATATATAATTTCAAGTAATTTCGTCATACGTCGTCACACTTTTAAATGTAACACGTAAGTTCACAAAGGAGAGTTTGAAGGCAAGTCTAGTGCAATTATAAAATCTTTACGAACGACCGTTGTTATATAACTGTTATATAAGGTTATGAAGAAACATAGATGAGCGAGGGCCGCTTCCACTTTTGTCATACTTAATTTGAAATAAATCCATTAACACGATTTAGTTGACATAATATACCTATTTGGTTATTTATATCTGAACTTTCCCTACTTGTAAGTCATTGGTTAGTGCCATTAGAATCTCATGAACATATACTAAAGATTATCAATGTATCTGTGTAGTAATTATTACTAAATCTGCGATATACAATGTTAACGCCCTATTGACCGGACATAGACGTCTTTGTATCTCGTTTGTTATTCATTCGGGTCTGCAAAATATCTTGAAATGTTACTTTATATCTATATAGATCACTTTTAACATTTGACACACGTGTCTTTATCAGATAAAATTATTGAGCTCATTATTTTTACATTTCCTAATTAGATAAGACGCGTGTTTAATAATTTTAAAGTAAATATATATGTATAGATATACATGCATATACTATCTTATCCTCAATAGTCACGCGAATATACGACATTGGATTTTAGTATTAAACGATACATGTAATGTTTATAAAAGAATGACATCAATTTTATAATCAGATATATTTAAAACTTCCGCAATTCCTGTTTAATGAAACAAGACATTATTCTACAACATTGTACCGTGACTAGTGTTGGCAATATATTGGATTTATTCAAATTGGATTATTAAAGCTGAGTAACAAGTCAAGTAAATATTATAATACTAGCTTTTCGACCGCGTGGAGTTCGGTTATATCGCGTTTCCAAGAGAACTTTTCAAAAGTCTGGGATAAAAACTATCCTTTGTTCTTTATCAAGGTCAACTCTATCTCCGTACCAAATTTCATTAAAATCAGTTTAGTGGTTTAGACGTGAAAGCGTAACAAACAGACAGAGTTACTTTCGCATTGATAATATTAGTAGGGATTCAGTCATAGACATCACTAGAGTTGTTGACCGCTGTGTCGCAGCTGAAGGAAGTAAACATAATGAACAGCTGATCGTGCTGAGTACACCTGGATGTTTAGGAATATGTAATCTATATGTAAACAGTGATGGTTTCAAACAGCGACTGTTTTGAATTCAAAACTAACTTACTGTACACAAATATACTATTGAAAAAACTGTGAAGTAATGCCTTACTTGGAACGGGGACATCAAATCACCTGATAATAGCCACATAATGAGGTCTTTAGTAAGTATTCCTTTGTTCGTTACTATAATGACGGATCATAGTAATTTCTAATGATATGCCTATCAAGTAATTTATAAATTACACTCATATCAGATATTTGACGCGTAATCCAATTTATTGACATAGATACAATGATATCTTAAACATTTGACCTAAATTATATGTATATATATTTACAAATAACGCATTACTTTCGATTCCCGCTGCGATAGTGGTAAAGATAAATGAATTTAATATAATTTTTTCATACTTGTTACAAAATCGTATAAATGAAGACAAATATCTGGCGAGGTTATATTATATTGTGTGTATTGTATGAGTTTTAAATTTTGGTTGTGTATAGTCAGTCGTGTTTGCCTCCGTGTCAATACTGTTTCACAACTATCTTGCACAAAGCTTGTTTCGTCACTTGGACACGCCTCCGACCCCCGCCAGCCCACCATGACACCATTGACACCATAACAGATGTATAGCGTATGTGCAAACAGATTTCAGAAGTCACAAACATTATGGTTGCGTTGCCATCATATATTATTTGTCTTAAATTAAATGTATTATGAAGTATGAGTGTCGTCTTATAAAACCTTGAGCTTAGTATTACACAGACGAGTTTTTTGCTATTGAATTTTTAAATATGGTGAATAAATAGAGACGGAGGTTGAATTGGATTCCGTATAGTAGATAACGAAAGGCTTATGCGGCTCCTTTATGTGTTGTACAGGATGCTTTGAAAAATAAGGTTTAAAACATGAGAAACACACTTTATATCAATGTTTTTTTTATTTCAAAATAAATTGATAGCATATAAAGAAGAGGAATATCATTATTTTTATTCAATATCTAGTCCTTACAATCTCTTATTAAGCTTCAGCATTCTAAGTATATTTTGGTAATATATTATTCCGGCGTCGTCAAGCCACGTATTCGCTGACGGTTGCAAGTTCATGTATATTTTTTTTGTATAAAACAGCAACACTTCCTCGTCCCCTTGAAGAGTACAACGAACTAAAAGATATAAACGCGCTCCTTGTAACATGCTGTCATTTATTTTTTGGATTATTAAGAAATATATAATTATTTTTCCATAATTTTACATGTACTATAACGGCTATGTATTTCCTATTTAAATTTTTTACACATTTATTTTTAAAATGAACACGCTGTATAAAATAACTGAACATATCTTTGTTATTCAGATTAGAAGTTTGTATGGCCGCTGTATGTAGGTCAAACTCTCCAATAGTGTCGCTTTCTGAATATCAAGACGCCAATATTAATGCGTATATCTTCACTGACCCATAAACCAGCTTTTTTAAACGAATAGCAGTTGATAATAAAAATTAATTCCAAATAAAATTCTTCATAGTCATTAACTTCGATACAAAGCTGAGTTTGTAAATGGTATTATTAATCATAGGACGATGGTACGATTCAACTATGGCCGTGAGTTATTTTGTGCCGTTTTTTTGTTCCACTGACATCCAACATTCGAGTTGTTGTCAAACTTACAAAACAAGTTCACAGGTGTACGAGATTCATATCAGATGTACAAAAAACTACATGTGGGTGTATTGGTTTGATAATTAATATTATAATTAATATCTGCTGTTGTTAAGTAAATGTTATGCAAATATTATGGAAGTGTTAAATGACATTTATAAAGCACTATAGGGACTCTTATCAGGATAAAAAATTACTCCATACTATGGAAGAAGTACTTCTTAATAAATTGGCAATCAAAATAAGTCATAAACTGTACAATTTTCTGCTATTTTTATTTCCAGCAAAAAGATAATTTTTAAGGAAACGAAAATACGCGTATTATAATAATTATAAAACAATTTACAATGAAACTTTCACATTTATTAGTGGAACTGAATAGTAGGTTTATTTATCGGTCTTTGTGAGGCTTAGGCAATAGGTAGATGTTGAACGAGTCATATTGAGTAAGCCCTTTGACATCTACGACTATTTTGAATGTACCTATATTGCGTCACGAACGAGAGCCATAGTCTGTGTATGAACGATAAGCTGCTGATTCTTAATGAGGCTATATTTGTTTGCGGTATAATGTATATTGCTTTGGTTTATTTAATGAGTACTTATTGCATGCATATCATCGAAATTAAACTCGATAATATTTCCTTATGAAAGCGGAAAGTTTGTACAAAAAATCTGATGCAATAAAAGTTAATGTTTAAAAATTTCCGACCTTTTTATCAATACTTTATTCATCATTGACTTCAGATTATTTTGAATGATATGTTGTTTTTGTCATCCACCATACGTTATTTTTTTCTGTCTAGTTGCTATTTTTTGTTGACGCTAATCAAGGGAACAAAGTTTAGTATTAGTATGCCGTCACCGTGTTTATATTATAATATATTTTTATAGCCAAATCATTAATTTCATATTACTTGTGAATTTATTCGTCATCAATAGACTCTGTTTATTCCTCCGTACTAAGATATGACGCATTGACTGTACGTTATATACTCGTATACCTTAGCTAACCCAATAACCGTTGGTATACCGTCACTTGTATCGAGCTTGCAACAGAAATCAAAAACCTTGGTACAGTGACTCAGTTTCGATATCAGTGCTCTGATGACCTTTTACTGGTTCCCGCATTATTGCACGATTACTCTGTTCATATATTTTTTTATGGAAAAATATATCAAAGAATAGCATTAGGTAATTATTTAAGATTTCTCTGATCTCTTAATCCATAGTTCACGATAATTTTCGAACAGTTTCATAGTAACAATGTTTAAGTAACACGGGTGATAAAAACTGTTAAGTAATCTTTTACTCTGCTGTTGCGTTCAAAGTTGGCCATAGATTGCTTCAGTTATTAATCCACTGTTGTTAGACTGAAGGCCAAGTTGCTATGTTAAAATTTTCATCGCTGAAATAGTCTTTGACGTGCTAAGTACGGCTTGATTAATTACACCTATATATTTAGTATAGCTGCTAATATTTTTTGGTAAATGTTTGTATTTATGTATGTAAAAGCATTTTCTTTTATGTTTGCTGTGAAACGAAATGAAACAGTCCGATATTGTTAGGAATGTTGAGTAACAAACAAACAAAATATATACAGTTTATATAAGTAGATAATTATTAAACTGGCATCAATTTAAAAGTTTCCAATGTTAACCATGAGTCGATGTCTGCCCACATTTTGAATGATTCGGAATGAGGTTGACAATGAAATGGTATAACAGTCATGGTCTTATGTCGAAATTAACGAGTATACACATCACATATGTACGTGACGAATATTCATACACAGCTCATAAAAATGAAAAAGCATACAATTCATCTACTGTCCCTAAAATATTCTACTCAAACTAGTAACCAATATTAATTTCAAGGATTTTTTTCTCTAACAGATGGTTCGATAATCCTCTGGGATATAAGAGACTTGAATGTCAAAGATCACAAGAATATAAGAGTGAATATACCATTCGATCATGCCTCCCACATCGCCTGGAGTCCGGACTCAAAAGCCTTCGTGATACACACGGTACAGGAGAATCACATCCAAGTTTACAAGATAGAGAAGAAAAAAGATGGCACTATAGGAGCAGCTCATCCAATGATCACGTTTGATAAGGTGAGGACTCATTAAAACTATATTACCCAAACATATAAAAAATATACATAGATTTATTATTACATATTTAATGTAGTACCAAGAAATCAGAGACCGAAATTTTGTTTAACAAGTCGTAAACAAAATATAACAGCAAAGTATGATTCAATCATGTCTGTTAATTAAAAACATTAAGTTTTCGATTAATTTTAAATATATAATGATGGAAAATAAATATGTTGTATATTTATATCATTGATGTGTTATATAATGAATTATATATACATAATAATGTATCGCCAACTGTTATATAAGCTAATGACATTGTATTTAAAAATGTTGCAATCGTAAAAGACACATAAATACAAAAGATTTAAATGACATTATATAAACATTTCGACGTGGCAGTGTCCTTTAATCTTTTGCCTGATAAAATTTATCTCATCGTAAAGTTAAAAAGTTTCATACCAACTCTCTTAAACGATGTGAATGTGGTCTCAAAAATGTATAAATATCTTTGGTTTGGCTTAGCTTTAGCTATGGTATTTCTTTTTTTACTAGAGTTAAGGTTTGAATCATCTTATTAATTATTTATAATATGCATCATTTTCTTGGCATACTTTTACTTTCAGTTTCACTGTACGTACGATGTGATTATTAAAATATTGCTGTCGGTACACGAGACACGCAACTCTTCACTTAATAACAACGCACTATGCTGTTTTCTATACATCTATTACATATTAATACAATTCAAATGTATGTTTGTGTTGTGTACTGGATAATAGAATGTTAAATTCTTGTTTGTTGGTCTGTTTTTGTGGCCTAATATCCGCAACTTGTGGATGAATTTTAAAGGGGCTTGAGCCAGGTAGCGGAATAAAATTTTTAAGATTTTAAAATCTTTACCTAAAATTTTACGAACGAACAAAAGTTGATGTAAAATAAATAAAATTGTTATTAGCGAACAAAATTAATAAATTGTTAAATTTATGGCCCATAACACTTCCTGGATTATTATTGTTTTTTTCTAAGACGACGTCGTGAATAAATTGCATACATCATAACACATTATATTCATCACGATTATTTTATCTATGAACATCTACATATATATATATCAAGCTTACTGTTAAAATTAATTTGAATTTATTCGAACCCGATAGTATTAAAAATGACATTATTATTAATAGATATATTGTATAAAAATAGTGATGTATTCATGCTGTATTCAAAAATATATCATACCCAATAAAGTTATACAAACAGGTTATGAGGAATCATAATATTGCGTTAGTAATTCGTCGTAACGTTACTCTAGCCGTGTAAAAGCCGCTTACGCACACCCAGTGGCGAAATACACGTTATAAATTCGGTATATGAAAGTGCAAAGCAAAAGGAATTTAATCAAAATGTTTTATGCGCTCCCGGCTGCTTTTTTAAATGTTTTTGTTTGTTTATTTTAAAATTGCAGTCTATATTAAGCCATTGCAATTTTTGTTATATGTATTTTTATTTTCTTCTATATTCCTTTTCCAATTTACATTTTCAGGCATGAGTTGTTACTAAGTGAACTGTTTACGTTTACCAAAAGGTAACAATTAACTTTACGCAATCCCTCATTATGTACCAAAGCGGTGACGTAAAATTATGTCTATTGTCTGAACGGCGGTGGGGTAACGTAAGATTTACTTACGTTTGCGTAAAATGTAAATGAGTGCATGCTCTATTATTAAATAATATCTGACGTGCTCGTAATTTTTATGAGAAACAAAAAAAAACATAATTACGCTAATTCATATTATAATAAAAGGCAACCTTATATGAGATATAAAAAAGCTAACAGTGAATAAAAGCATATATTTATTTAAATATAACCGTACATATAACTGTATGAAGTTAATGACTTATGATTACCTTTAATTCTGATTCAATTATTTTGTATTATCGATTCTTACTTTAGTTGTATTGAAAGGTTTGAAATCTATATAGCCAGGAGTCGGGGGCGTTGGTAACTCCCACGAGAGTACGACCTTCACTGAAAAAATATATCTTTAAAGGTCACCTCTTACGTACAAAGGGTGTTTCGTAAAGCCTGATCTATTTTTAAAATGGTTTCTATATGTTTTCTAAATGTAATTCAATTGAACATACATACGTTTGGGTATTTCATTCTTCTGAACAAATCTTTCTTCCTCTGCTTCAGGTATAGGTATAGCAACTTCTAATATAAATTTTTACTATTAATATTTATCTGAAATTTGATCGAATATTTCTATTATATAAATTATATATTTAAATATATGAATTCATTTAACCGAAGTCGGTAACTACTTTTTATTTCATACAACAAATTGTATTCTTATTTCCTGGCATTGTGACGTCATACGAAGTAATCTCCGAGGACACCTAACAAAGACGATTTAGCATAAAACAGAATACAAAGATGTTTTAAATTTTCTATATGTATCGTAATGAGTTATTTGATGTTTTGTGATAATTTTGAATACATTGTTTGCTTTATTATTTATATTATTCGCATACAAAAGTAACCTTAGAGATAATTTTCTAATGATAATTCATGTATTGTTTGGTTTATTGAATATATATAAATATTTTTTTTTAGTTACTGCTCGCACTTTACTTGATTTTGGCTCAAGTCAATTCTAGAACAGTTCTGTTCTTAGACAATAAGATTGATATTTTTTTTTTTTGTTATCGCGGTGAAAGGTTTTATACCTACCCCTCCGTCTAGGGGAGACAGAGGCGGTTATGTGGGATTCACGGCCAGAAGGGCCCATGTTACCCACTAAAACACCAGCGGTCACTCTCCGTTGCCGCCAAGTGGATCGCCACGGGAAACGCCGAAGCATGCATCCGCGACGATCCGGCGGCGGGCCGCGAACGGCCACCTCCCCCCCCGAGAGCTCACTCCAAGTGACCAGGAGTGTCCCCCCGCCTGGCGGGCTTGCTTAATCGCGAGAGGGTTAACCCCTTACCCCTCCCACCCAAGCCCACGCGGCCAGTCTCCAACCACCCACCGACGAGCGCAAGCGCCCGACGGCAGACAGAGAGGAAACCGACCGACCACAAGCGAACTCAGGCCTCCGGAGAGACCCGAGTATCCCCTCCCCCCCAAGACAGCCACGGACGGCCTCCTGCCAGATCCGTGACCGTCTTACTCCCAGGGCTGTACCCCCAGCCCTCCCCCCCGTGACTGATTGCACCGGAATACACCAGTGGGCGATGGGGTCGTCACGTCCCGACGCCGGAATAAGATTGATATTGATCCAATGTAAAGTAATGACCTAGCGAATACTTTATGTTACATTTGTAGTATGCGATATTAATTAAATTGTTTTCTATCAGATGATAATTTTATCACTTGTTTTGATGATTACCTCAACACGTTTATCTTATTTATACATCTTTACATACGTCATAGCAAGATGCAGTGGAAATCAAGAATAATATAGCTACACGAATTCAATTCTACTTAAAAATATATCTCTGGCCTAAAGATTAAAAAGAATAGTACGTTGCTAATTCTTTTATGTTTGGGCTTTTAACAATTTTAACGAGAACAGATTATCTGTATCTCTAAGGCCTCGGCCTCGAATTTTGCGGGCAGCGGAGCGGGAGCGGGAGCGGCAGGATCTTACGCGTATAATCAAATGGACCGACCCTCGAATACAGCGGTGCCCGCTGCCCGCTATTTTGGAGAAATGTATGCGTTTTCGTGCCGCCGCCGCTGCCGCTCCGCTGCCCGCAAAATTCGAGGCCGAGGCCTAAGCGGCGATAGTAACTCTTTTCTTTGTTGGTTTTTTCGTCTCACAACTTAGCAGATTCGGTTGCCAAGCCACAATTTTATTTAAGGAGACAATAGTCTATGTTTGAAGAAACACCGTAACTAATGTTGATGAATTATTTTTTTTAGAAACGACAGAAATTTGGAAGATTTCCACTTACAAAGTAACAGATATTAAGTCTTCATAGTAAAAACGTAATATATATCTATACATATGTTTAATTGTTAGTGATTTCGTACGTGTCCAATGTACCCTTGATAGTGCTGTTGTAATTGTTCGTCTTAGGATTACGAAATCTGAACAATCGCAATGCATTTATCTTGTTATGTTTCTTATCTGTTTGATAACAAACTGATAACTGATAGCGATGCGGAAGGCCTGATCCGATGGTGATAGAATCTAATGTATAAACTGTGCCTAAAGGTCGTCGTACAAACTTAATTGACTGTTAATGAACTCATGAATCTACAATAACTTATATTACACGCTTCGTCGATTATTTCTCCTTGAACTCACTACTCAGTCATAACAATATATATATGTGAAAAAATTTAAACGTATCTTTGCTAACAAATAATTATCTTGTTTGAACACGAATTTCATTCGAGAATTTTCTATATTGACTATTTTCATTTTTTTTTGTGTTTCTGGAGAAGTATACAATAATTATGATTTTTATTCCGACGGTACATCGCTCGAAGTGCACTCTGGTTGCTTGTCAACAGAATTGTTCATGTATTGAATACGAAATAAAAACGAATGCGTTAAGAATAAAAAGTTTCCTATATCACTGACATGACTATTACATTTTGTTGTGATTGCTTCCTTTGTTGTGGGTTAAAAAAATAAGTTGAATGTCCAATCGTTAAAGTAGGAATAATCTGAAAATAATTACGATGTATCTTAAAACAAGCATAAAGACCTTACTGCAAAATAATGAATAAAAAGCGTTTAACAAATAAGAGTCATTACAAGGAGGATTCTAATTACACCTGTGTAGTTAGTATGTTTGAGAAAACAAACCGATCTTCTTACAAACTTTGTAACGATCATTATACGAACCGATCAAGAAATAATACTTCATTCTTAATCCTCCACAAAAAAGGCTCGTTTACAAATGTTCGTTATAAATATAGGTTTCGTTGAAAAGGCAAGTAATTGTTTAATGGGAAAAGTTTCAACCAATATGATAGCATCGGTGTCGTCGAGTGA